AACCACTTGCCGTATGAGCGTCCACCATTGGCAAGCAGACAGGTGCCCCTGTCAAAAATACCTCGTCTGCTTGGCTGCTTTACCTCACAGCAGTTCAGCTACTGGGGGCACGGCAGACGGTGCCCGCTGTGTTCTGGTGCCAGAAATGTCTGATGCAAAAAGTGGGTGCTGAGTGTGTCAGGCAACCAGAGGAACCTCATTTCCACAACAGACATCTGGGATAGAACTGTGAGGGGGACGGCACATACCGCCGGCAGATTTCTACCTCTTTTACGCACATCACAAATGAAAAATACTTTTAAAGTATAATTAAGATATATCTGTGTGAAAATACATGTTTAAATAGCTTGTAATACAGGCCCCAGCTGGTGAGTGCTGAACCATAACAGAACCAAAAACATTTATGTTCGATTCATTGTGCATGGTGTAATTAATCACACATTAGTGTGTGAGCCGTGTGCCTGAGTATGTGTACGCATATTCAGTGCAGTATTAATAGCATTATTTACTGTAAGAGTTTGGTTTACACTGAGTTCAGCCCAGTCTGAGAGGAAGTTTAGAGAGGAAGTGAGAGAACCAGACACTACACTATAATTCATTGCCCAGCATTGCACAGAGGGCACAGGAACCTTAAAACCCCACTGATGATTATACTAAATATCATAAAATGCTAAGTGCAAACACACGGTAAAACACTAACCGCCCATAGTCACCTATCTCTTACTTTCAAACAGCGTGCTGTATAAAAACACACACATCAGTAATTTGCCTTCACTGCTCGCTCCAAAGGCTTTACAACAAACACAAAATATCACTCTTATATACTAACATATATAAAAAGTTTATAAACCAAGCTGCAGAAATTGTGACGTCATATGCCGGATGATATTAATCCCGAGGCCCGTTCTGAATATTAATGGCTAACATTGCGTGCCCTGAGTGACACCTATTGATCTGGCCAGTTTTGTTGCTTTTTATTAAGGGTTATCACCCCCCACCCCCATGCTGTATAATGTTCAAAGGTAATGGGGTTGCTCAAACAAGTCGTTTTCTCAGACCTTTTATCGGGACATCAAGGAGGCCTATCGCTATCCCTAAACACGGCACGCGGCTAAGGGGATGCCCTGGGTCCTGTATTTGGGCTAAGTAGACTGACTTTTCAGACTTTATCAGAGATGAAGGGAATGAGAGAAGAAGCCAGAGAGAGAGATAGAGAGAGAAAGAGAGAGAGAGGAGCCAGGGGGATAGATGCTGGCTGCAGGTGGTATTCACCGTTAGTCATTCGTTGCCTGTATTTGCATTTTTTTGAAAAGGAGAAGTGTGTGTCTGAGTACCGTTGTGTGTTCGTGTCCGATTCATGTGTGAACTCGGAGGCATTACCATGACGTCCCTCCTCGTTTGTGTTGATTTGCTGATGATTTTTAAGTGATTTCCAACCCATGGCCGTAATGGGAGATGCATCCCTCCCCAGGCTGCTCAAAACGCTGTTCACAACATGGCAGCCTTTGTTAGCCTTCAGCCCTGTCCTTGTAGAACACCCCCCCAAAACGGAGACTTTTATTTCCCCCGCCATGACCCAAGCGGCACATCAGTGTGAATTTTCCCAAAAACATCTTGATACAAACACACTCTTCTCTTAACGGGACGGGAGTAGCAGGTGGGAGTGCAGTGGGGGTAATTTTGTGGGGGGGGGGGCAAGAACTGAGAGCTGCCAGTACAGACCTCTGGCTGACTGTGTAGTGCATCTCATCTGCCTCTTGTCTTCCCTCCATCGCTCTCTCCATTCTCATCACTGCATCTCTCTTGGGGATGGGGACTGTCCCACAGCGAGGAAAGGGGCTAAACTGGTAAAACAGGAAATGATGAGTTAATGGGATAGCATAATTCTGAGTCACCCGCTCATACGGGAGGTGGCCGCGGCCTTGCATCATGTTGACGGTGGGCCATGTGTACCAGGTGGCCGGACACCACCAGGAAGCAGAATCCGGACGGCTAGGCGAGTGCTCCCATAGCGTGTGGGGCAGCCGCTTAGTTGCGCTCGGTCTGGAGTTTGGGTCAAGTGGCGTTCATTCTCCACGTTTCATCAAAAAAAAAAACTGGATGAAAGGGAGAGTTTAACACAAACACGCCCACCAGGTGGTCATTGTAACTGCAAAGTCTGAAAAAGAAAAACAGGTAGGATGGCAAGTTAAATTAAGACAGTTAAGAGCTTAGATGAGGGGGCGGTACCCAGAAATAGCACAGATAAAACAAAAAGGAGGGAAAACACCTTGTTTGACACCAGCAGTTGCGAGTGTGTGTCCTCTATTGGTTTATGATGGGAGATAAGAGCAAAAAAGAGCATCCTTATTTAATATTAACCTTAAAAGGAGAACTCGAAGTAATCATCCATAGACATTACTGATTAAGGATTTTCCAAATAAGTGATTAATCGGCGCAGAAAGTCGCAGAAGTTGGAGGAGTACAGTGTCAGAGGGTAACCCTCGATGACCTTGTTAATGTGTTAGAGCACCACTAAGCGAGCGTGTGTGTGCCTGCGTGTGCGTGTGAGGAAAAACACCTCGCTGAGTCACACGGAGCTGCATAGTCTCCACGCTCCGCAGGCGCCTGGACCTGCTCACCTCCGCCGCCGCCGCTGCTCCGCTACGTCCCCTGACAGCGGGGATGGCAGGTAGGCGACCTCAAACCGGCTCTGCACTGAAATGATCCGCCCGTGTGCCCCGCATTTCGGGCTTTAGAAAACCGGCGAGCCCCCGGCAGGATGAGCTGAAAGGAGCCTGAGTCGCCTTTGAAGTCGCTTTAGACGCAGACAGACGGACAGCCGCGCCGCGCTGCCCTCTCCCGTCTAAAACCTGAAAACTGACTGCCAGTGAACCATCTCAACATGTTTAACCACCAAAATCTTATTTCTTAAAAGAGATATTAAAGTCAACAAGCGGCGCGACATTTCGGTAAAATGCTTACAATTATTATAAAGCTTGCAGTGCGTTAATGGTAATTTATACGTTTCTCTTTTCTATAATCTTATCAAAAAAATTAGATAATATCACAGAGAAATGCGATAATAACGGCGACAACAGGGGACTAGACATTCTAGGCGGTTCACCTGAAGTTTATTCTCAGTAGTGTTTCTTTTTTTTTTTAGTATTTTTGAAGAGTTACAACTAGACGTTTTATGTTTTTACACTGCTTGAGACGTTGATTTGTCACCGAAGTCTGAAAGAAATCAAGACATATTTCACAGATCTGTAGCAATTGTATAATCAAAGTAATGAATGGTAAGTATTATAATATTTAAAAACAATTCATGTTTGTTGAGAAGCTTAGTTATAACAATGCTGTTTTAATTAAATGTGTGACTGATTAATTTAATATATATATATATATATATAGTTTTAGCATGAATAAACATCAACACGCGTACATATTTATGTTCCACACTTATTAACTGGCACATAGAAAAATATATATATTTTTTTTCTAATAACTGTCATGCATTTCCTCTGCTGTACTATAATGCTTGTCAGTTGCTTTTGATGTAAAACCTTTTTTCAATTAAAATTAATTTTATATAAATTAAAAATAACCAATGCCGTTAATTAAAACTTAGAATGATCAAAACATAGCTGATAGTTTTAACGAGCATATTTGCTTATTATATATTTTATTAAAATTTTATTTGAAGATTACAATTTGAAGGAATTGAGACTTTGGTTGAATTAACTGTCAAACTTGTTGGGCTTTGGAATACATGTTTGGACACAGTGGAAGGGGACTGTATGTATTGAACGCTGCACTGCCTGAGCGCTGTGTCCTTGTTGGACTGTATGTTAAACAGTCACACATTTAATGAACTGGCAAGTCACATGACCCCCATGTAACATGCAGTCAACAGCTGCTTTTCTGATTAATTTGCTCCAAGCCGTTGTAGGAAATTTTTGGGGTGTTTTGTAATTTTGAGGATTTTTAAGGTATGCTTTGCTGTGATATTTTTTTTCCATCAAACACCTAATAGTACCTATTTGTCACCCTACACGGTTCTTGTGTTAAACTTAAAATCAGCACTAACATCCTTTCCGAATCTTGGTCATTGGCTCCATACATCTAGGATTTATACAAGAAAAAGAAATTGCTTCATTGGGAGCTATATGAGTAGCTCGGGGTCCTGATTTTTTCTAGCCAGCTCTTTCACTCAAAGCTACTTAATAAACTTCAGTATAATATTTTTCCCATGTTTATGCAGATGGACATTTTTAAAGTTCCACTTACTCATGTTGTTCAAATAACTATAGTTGTTTCTCCATTGGGATTTGAACCCACAACCTCTTGGTTTAATATTGCGCCTCAGAACACTTAAGCCAGCTGCTGGCTGCTGAGTTTGTGACTCTCTATCGGCCATCTTTGTTCAAAACATCAGAGGCATCCATAGCCTTAGAAATTCAGGAGTGCTAGCAACAGACTGGCGCTCTCTTGCTTAGAAGAGCCCCAAAATGCTTCCAGGATGCTTGCCAAGGACCGGGGGGGGTGTCCATGGGAGGGAGGACATGAAGAGCAGAGTTCACTGAGTAAAGACGAGGCTTGGGCATGAAGCACAAGTCCGGGAACACCAACGGGGGGGGGGGCAGGCAATGGGAGAAGACACAACTAGTGGGACATGAAAGAAGGATTCTCACAGAACAGAACAATGTTTTCATATGTAGACAGGAAATGAAACTTTCAGCACCTATAGACACATTTAACAACAAGCTCAGTGGATGGCAACCATAAGCTCAGGGGCTGCTTTAATGTAAAAATAAAAACATTGTGTTCCTGTAGTGTAACATTAAAAGCCAAAATAATGTTAAAAAAGGACAGAAAAATGACAAGGGTAACGAATCACACAGCTCCATCTTTCCGTCTGCGATGCCCTGTGTCGAGCTCAGAAGCACCACCCCTTGGACAGGTGTCTTAACAACCATCTTCCTCTCTCCTCATCCCTCCATCCCCTTTTACACCTGTAGATATAAGGATGTCGAAGCCAGTAGAGATTGAGAAGCAAGGAGCCGACTCTCCAATGGAGAGCACAGGTAAGAATTGCTTTTTGTTTCTCTTGCGTCTGTACACGTGCATGCGTGGGCGTGTGTACATGCGTGTGTGTGTCGGCGTGTCTTTTTCAATGTGTATTAATCACTTTTTCTACATCGCAGCCTATTTTTTTCTGTCCTAAATATCGCAGCATATACTTCTTGATTTCTCACTATTTCCGATCTTTAATGCGTGTGTGAGTGTTGTGAGAGAGAATGCAAGCCAGCAAAATTTGTGTGAGACTCACAAAACTCACCCACAAAAGATTTTTATCGTCACTTATACCGTAAGACACCTCATTCACATCGGGCCCTTCCAAAGTTTGTCAGCAGTTTTATGGTGACTACAGCTGTGTAGTTGTATCCTGAATCCTGGCATGCTCTTCTATTTCCATCTTATTTCCATCTGCCTCGTCTCCATAATTTGCTTCCAGTCCTGTTTTTTGGTTGCTTACGGTGCTGTATTTGAACCGAGTCACATTTCCCATTCAGCGATGCTACCTTTAGGAGGCGATGGAAAGCCTCTCATTCAGCCATTGAGGACAAGCTTTCAGAAAGCAGTCACAGCAGAGTCAGCCAGATGTTGGCCTTAACGGGAGGGAATCAAGCGCAGCCAGGCCGCCCTGCAGCCAGGCCGCCCTGCAGCCAGGCCGCCCTGCAGCCAGGCCGCCCTGCAGCCAGGCCGCCCTGCAGCCAGGCCGCCCTGCAGCCAGGCGCTCGCTCCGACATCCTCCCCGCACAGCCCTTCGCTGATCGTCCGTCTTTTCCTTGCCTGTCTTGTACAGCCTATGCATCCTCGACTTGCTCAACCCACCTCTCTCTCACTCTCTCTCTCTCTCTCTTCTCCACAGACTCAGAAAGAAATGGCCCAGACACCAACCATCAGGTCTGCCTCCTGTTCCTTATTTGGCACATTTTCATTGTCGTCTCACACATCTTATATGTCTTATAATATTACATAATGCCTCGTAATGCCTTATAACTACACTGTAATGTAAGTCTGTAGCCTCTTGCACAAAAGGGTCTATAGATCAAGCTTGCAAACTAGTGGACAGCCACTGTGAAACCCTAGAAAGGGTCATTGACATGAACCTGTCCTACACACCACATGGCAGGAGACTGTTGTAATAACAGTACAGTAGTGATGCCTGGGCAATATGCCTGATGGACATAATGCTTTTTGGTAACAGAAAAAAGTAATATTGTAACATCTGGTGACACCTAAATGTAGCTTCCTAGCAGGTACTGTGTGAGCCCTTGTTTGGCAGCCTGTTCTTACAGAGTGTTGTCTTTCCTGTGACAGGTTCAGCCAATGAAAATCAGTCCCTTCTCCCTCTCGCCCACTCTGAGCAGCACCAAGGTGAGTGCGTGTGTGCATGTGTGCGTGTGTGCATGTGTGTGCGTGTGCGTGTATGTGCATGTGCGTGTCTGTGGGGACGACGGAACGAGAGAGGCCGGCATCAATCCGTGCGAGTGGAATGCTTACATGAAATTTCCTGCTTCCAAATGATCTCTCGACATAAAGCTCAGCTTGTACTGAACAATTAGAAGCTAATTTGCATTGAGACTCACTAATATGCAAATCAGGGCAGTTTGTACTTGCACTGGTTTGGGCATGCCCCAGCACGGCATTCCAGTATTCTGGGAACGAGGGTGCGTGCGCGGCGGTGGAGGGTGAGATTCCCAACCAGGAATGCGACTCTCATCACACTGACATGCGTGTGAGACAGAGGGAAGGTTCACTTCCAAAGCCGGTTAGGGAGCGACAGAGAGTGAGGATGGCCGGCCGTGATGAACAGTACAGGGGAGAAGCGTACAGGGGCAGACTGAGCACATGCGGTGATGGCAGTGATAGCGACGGGGCGTAACGCCCCCTGGAGGCTGTAAAGAGCAGGTGCAGGCAGTCATCCCATCCGTTGGATCTCTCTGTGGTAATCCCACCAGTATCTGGTTTCCAGAGTGATAGCGTCATTACTGATATATATTATTCTCACTGAGATCTCGATGGTAATGGGGGAGAAGAGAATGGACTGAATAGAAGGAAGGTAAGATATTTGGAATGGAGTGAAGAACTGATGGGAAGAGAAGTAATTCTCCAACTACTGGTACTGTCCAGTGCAGAGCTGGTTATGGCAACAATGAAGCACTGTAAAAAGTCAGCTGTATCCTAGAGTCCTGGAGTTCAAAAAATCGGATTTTCCAGGTTAGTCTCCATGTGATGGACCTCTATGGCAAAACATCCTCTGTCAGTAAAAGAATGTGCCTTATTTTAACTGCAGGAAGTAAAACCTTGATATTGTTGCCAGGAATTTGAAACCAATTTTAAAAATATCATTGGAATGACTGACCTGTGTGTTTCAGTAAAGGTTGTCAGATAAAAACTACAAAGTGTTCTTAGATGGTCAATTACTTAAACTTCCTGCTTGAAAACATCCAGTCCGATGTGGCCGAGCGAGCTGTATGGTTTCACCGTGTCGACTAATTTCAAGGCTCCTGCCTTGAAGGATCTGCTCAGGGTAGTGGTGTTCTGTAGAACGGTGTTCTGGCGCGGTGAGTATTGTGCTCCAGGTAACAGTGTGAGAAGCAGCCCCCCCCCCAAGAAAAAACAGGTGTGTTTTTAGCCCATCAAAGGCTATTCTGTCGATTGTGCTTTCTGTCTCTATTGTGGCTCCTTTGAAGCGTATTAACTTTGTATTGTTATGCAATTTTTGAGGAAGACAGTCTTGTATTCACTATTCACATTTTCAAAGCTCAGTGTTTAAGTTTAAGGGGGTTAAGGCTGGTGTGTGGCTCATGATATGAAGGCTGTGGGGTCAAGTCCCGTGGTGGATAGAATAGTCACATCATCGGGCCCTTGAGCAAGGACCTTAATCCTCCTGAAATGCTCCAGGTGTGTCAGATCATGTCTGACCCTGTACTCGAGCCCCAGCTGCAAACATACCTGAGCAGAGCATGATGGGATATGCGAAAAGTATCATTTAATTTCACAGCGGGAAGGCCTCCCCCTGAAGGGCCCCCGCTACCTTACAGCCAAACAGACCCCCCTCCGTGGGACAGACGGTAACATTGTAGCTGATAATGGTGTCCAGTCTGCAGGTTTCTCTGGGCATAAGGAAACGCCCCATCGGGTACTGGATGACTCAGCGTGACCAAAATTAATATTGGACCTGAGGAAAGTGCACCCCATCAGCTAAGGAGGTCCTCTGGGGGCATTGCCTCTTGTCACTGCTGGCCTGTAGCTTTTTTAATTTCCTGGAACAATAAACCAAACTGTTTATTCGTCAGTTTGGCTCATTTCTAATTGGGGTCTCCTGTACCTAGACCCACTGCACATAACTCCCAGGATAGGACGGAATTACTCTGACCAGGTTCCGTCACTCGCAGCCCTTCCCCCCCCCCCCCCCCCCCCCCCCCCCCCCCCCCCCCCCCCCCCACTGCCCATATTAGCTCAGGAGGTCAGCACATTTTCAGCCTGTGGGTGACACTCGGACCTTCTCAGGCTGCTTCTGTGGACGAGACCGCATTCGCTCAGTCACCCTCCTCCGATCGAAATGCTGGTTTCACGCCATCGGTTAGGGTGAGAGTGAAGCTCTTGTGTACTTGCACTATTCTGCACCCTTATCATCGCCGTCCTTCCTGGTTTCTGGCCTTCTGTGAATTTGGTGACTTTGAGACGATTCATGTTTCTGCTGATATGACTGCCCCACCCACCCCCTGGGCTGCCCCCGTTCATGCGTCTCCATCTCTCTCTCTCTCTCAGGGCAAACTCGAGGAGTGCGGTGAGATGTCCCCCAGCCCCGCACCGGCACCCTCTCAGGCGGCCCTTCCCCACACACAGCTCATGCTTACTGGCAGTCAGCTGGCGGGGGTAAGTCACCCAGCGGCTCCCTGCCTGCTCAGGGCCTTGGTTCGCTGCTCGCCTGCTTCCCGGCCACTCTGCCCTCATCCTTCTCTGTACCCAGACCCTGCCTCCCACTCTAGCCTAGTCCATCTCCCGTATATCACTCCCATCCCCACATTACCTACGCCCCCCCCTCCCCTCCACATGCTGCGCCTCCCTCTGTGCCCCCTCTTCTCCATACCCCCTGCTGCCAGACGTCAGCTCAGCCAGACGCTCCCCCCAGCTCCTGGAGGGCCCGTTTCCCACTCTGCTTGCCTCCCTTTTGATGGTCTCCCACCTGCCTTCTCCCTCCTTCCTCCCCGCCTCCCCTCATCTCCGTTAGCTCACTGCCCTCCTGCCGGCGCAGCAGCAGCTCTTACTGCAGCAGGCGCAGGCTCAGCTTCTGGCGGCTGCCGTGCAGCAGTCCAGCGCTGCTCACGCCGCCCATGCAGCCAATCAGCAGCAGCAGCAGCAGCAACAGCAGCAGCAGAGTCAACAGACAGCACAGTCGCAGGCACACAGCACACAGGAGCAGCAGGCAGGCACCCCAGCTCCGCCCCCTCCGCCGCAGCTTACCCTCTCTCAGCCAATCCAGCTCACTGCCCAGGTACGGCTGGCCAATCAGCTGTTCCCGTCTTGGCACAGGGGCCCACCCGCTTTTTCTGCCTCTTGGCTCGCATCCCATTCCTCTTTCCCTCCTCCCTCTTAGGATATCCAGCACCTGCTGCAGCTGCAGCAATTGGTCCTGGTGCCTGGACACCACCTGCAGTCACCTGCGCAGTTTCTTCTGCCCCAAACACAGCAAGGGCAACAAGGTGAGGGGCTCGGGCTTGCAAGAGGGCCAATGGGATTGCAAGCATGGACCACTGGGCATCCATTCCATAAAGAGACAAGACATACTGAAATACAGAGCTAAACACTGGACAATAAATGTAGAGCTGCAGCAATTACATTAGGAGATTTAGAGAATTACAGAAGCACAGAAAAGCACCAGTAGTAATCTACACTGACACTAGGGGGAGCACCACCTATAGAATGAACCTGTAGAATAACAGTTGTGTCAGAGATACTTGAAATGAGGCCTGGATTTGTAAAGAAGGATAAAGAATACTAGTGGAGGGAGATCTGAGATAGTTTGGTTTAGAATTGGAATAAAATAGTCAATATCAATGTGATTAATGGATATCAGTTGCATTCTGCTAGTCTGCAAACATGGCCGAAGATGGTAGATTTTAGGAGAGACCTTTTAGAACAAAGCAAAGCCACAGAGCATCACATTCTTTCTTTAGGTGGTTACTCCGCCTTGCGCCCACCTCATCATGACCCTCCCTATGATGTAGGGCCTCCTGTAGACCTGGGGGAGGGGATTGGGGGGATAGAGTTGCTACCTGCCCTGTATTGAATGACAATATACAGTGTTCCATATTTCCATATACTTTGCATGCCCTCCCCCTCAGCTTGGCAAATTTTATAATAGGGACCCCCCCCCCCCAACCCCAGCCCCCATACTACCGGTCTGTGATGTTTTTGTACAACGTAAATCGGTCCGCAGACATCACAAGGTGTAGAACATGCCAGTTACTCATTCCCATCATGCAGAAAGCAGAAGCCCCTACCAACATTACTAAATGATATTATTAAACAGCCAACACTGGCACAAACCAGCGTGGTTTTGCTGTAATGGCAGATTGAGCAGCTCGGCCTGTCACCTTAACCAGCTAACGGCTACAGCAGTACAGCTTGGAACTGAGCAGCCTTCCTGTCACTTGGAAGATGGACAGATGTATAAACAGTGTGTGATTAGAGCCTAATCTGCAGAGGTGGAAAGTTCAGGTCCAGAAAGTACAAATCCAGATCAAGGATTTGTTTCAACCAAACAGTTGAGCATAAAGAGTCATAGCCACAGGGTACACAGGGTTGAAAAAAAATAATAACGTGGACTGGATTTGTACTTTTCACCTCTACTAATCTGTCAACCACATTCTATCAGTGTCATTTAAAAGTTATAAAAGATGCACATTTTTTCTGCATCTCTATTGATCTGTCCTCTTTCCAAAATAAGCTCAAATTAACATTCATAGAGCAAATACCTAAAATATTATCGGATCACACTACTCGATAGGACCAGCCATTAGGACCACTCTTCTCATTGTCTTGCCCCTCCAGGCTACATTGTTTATATGGTTGTATTCCATCAGGTGATTTTCAGTTGGGTGATTGTGACCAATAACAGTGTCAGCTGTCAGTTCATCTGCATGCTTTCTTTTCCCAGGTCTGCTATCGACACCAAATTTAATTCCGCTACCTCAGCAAAACCAAGGGAGCCTCCTGTCAGCTCCACCCAGACTGGGGCTTCAAGCACAGGTAGGCCACTGTGTCTGGCATGGGGATGCCTGTCCCCCCTCCGCTAGCCGTGTACCTGGGCGCTGTGGTAACCGTGCCTCCCCACCACAGAGAGACAAGGGTGTGGACAGTGGCGTGAGCTCAGCAAACTCCGTGACCTCCCACCCCGAGGAGCCCAGCGACCTGGAGGAGCTGGAGCAGTTTGCACGCACCTTCAAACAGAGGAGAATCAAGCTGGGCTTCACACAGGTGCCCCCGATATCTGACATTTCCATCCCCAGCCTACTGCTGTCATGACCCCCCCACTCCTGTGTAATTAACGCAATGTCTGTCCACATCAGGGCGATGTGGGGCTGGCCATGGGCAAACTCTACGGCAACGACTTCAGCCAGACGACCATCTCTCGCTTTGAGGCACTCAACCTCAGCTTCAAGAACATGTGCAAGCTGAAGCCCCTGCTGGAGAAGTGGCTCAACGATGCCGGTGAGTGGTGGGGGGGCTGGGCAAAAGTGCAGGGGCTGTGCACCGCGACTGGGGGGGCGGAGGAGGCCAAGAGTGATGTAACAGTGACGGAAAAGCCAAAACACTGGAAAATATGTACACGAGTGAAGCTTCAGAGAGGGGGCCGAACGTGGCTTGTGGTGAGGGGGCGTGTGTGGCTATGACATCACTCAGAAGTCACGCGATGAATTCCTGCTCAACCTGTCACCCTCCCCCCGGCCCGACAGAGACCATGTCCATTGACAGCACGTTGCCCAGCCCCAGCTCCCTCTCCTCTCCGTCGCTGGGCTTCGAGGGACTCCCTGGCCGCCGCAGGAAGAAGCGCACCAGCATTGAGACCAATGTCCGCGTGGCCTTAGAACGCAGCTTCATCGCGGTGAGTCAGCCTAGGACGCAAAAGAACGTGCCTATTACTTTAAGAGCAGTCGGTCTATGGTGGCCCTACTGGGACAATCAGCACACAGTCCATGCACATCTGGCTCAGACTTCTGTGCATGAATCCCTATTAGGGTCTCTAATTTTTTTAGTCTTTTTGATATGATATTGATTTTTAAGTAACATCCAACGCAATTATTCTACTGCAGAACTAATTAAAGTGCAGCTCCCCAAAGAACCTGTTACCATATTCCCAAAGGTCCTGCTAACGAATTAGGTTGTTAATTACAGCACCATTAATCATAAGTTGTTTTTCATTAAAAACAGCTAAAATGAGTTGTGTGATGGATTATTCTATCAGAGAGCCGTCAGTCACATTGATGGTGTGATTCTGGCGGAGCGGTACAGGGGCTGGCATGGTTCTAGCAAACCTAGTGCTGATGGATCTCCGCTGTTCCTCCAGAACCAGAAGCCTACCTCAGAGGAAATCCTGCTGATCGCGGAGCAGTTGAATATGGAGAAGGAGGTGATCCGGGTCTGGTTCTGCAACCGGCGCCAGAAAGAGAAACGCATCAACCCTACCAGCGCCACCCCTCCCTTGCCCAGCCAGCCCCCCCCTCCGACGCACAAACCCCCCTGCTACAGCCCGCACATGGTACGGCCCGCACTCACCCACCCCCCGCACCCCCCTCCACCGCTCCCGCTGTGGCCTGCATGCCCCACCCACACACACACACACCCTCCGCGCATGCTTACCCTGTGATCGACCTGCAGTGCCCATCCTCTCCTAACTGAGGTGCAGTGGCACACGCCCCGCACCGCTGTACTGCCAAACCTCTCCTCCTTCCTGATCCCTGGAGTGCTCTTCATTTAGCATCTCTGTCGGCCGCTAACCACAGTGCTGAGTGCAGACGCACAGAGACATGTCGGCCCACGATGCAGTGTTAGCGTACGTTAGACATATGCATGCTATCTCACGTCTCTCCTCTCCATCTGCCTCTCCTCTCTCCGTCTCTCCGGCACCCTCCAGATGTCCAGTCCGGGACTGTCCCAGGCCGTCACCAGCCTCAGCACAACAGGTGGGTCCCATGCTGACTCCATGTGGCTCTGCTTCTTAACTTGCGAAAAAAGAGAAGTAGCTTCTCTGGCTTGAGGTCCAGCTTCGGAAAGTCGTGAAATGAGCTTCCTGGTGCCTCATGGCCTGTTGTGTCTGTTCCTCTCTCCCTCCATAGTGACCACGATGTCTTCAGTCTGCCCTCTGACCCCAAGCGGCACTGCGACCATGAGCTCCGCCCCTTCCCCAGTGACCCCGCCACCTCGCAGCACAGCCAGCCCCGCCCCTCCCAGCCACAGCACACTGAGCCTCAACACAGGGTAAGGGTTTACCTGGCGCTTCCTCCTGCAGCCCAGCCCAGGCACACACTCAGGACACCCAGAAAATACAGATTCCGCACACACACACATACACCCACACACATTGCATACAGACCAGGACTGGCCTTGATCCACCTTGGCTGTCACACAGGCAGACGCTGACCCTGCCCCCTTCAGCCGAGCCGCACCCCTCCCCCCTCCCCCACCCTCTCTCAGCTGAGACTGCTAACCCTCTGTGTGGTTTTTGTGTTCACAGCTTGTGGCGTATGGGTAAAAAGAACGGTGACGTGTCTCACTGCATCACTGATTTCGCTGCAAACTTGAGGTGAATACGACAGTTCGAGTGGAGATCGCCTGCTCTCATGCACATGCACACACGCACAGCGACAACAGCAGATCACGGCACCAGACGGCACGTGCATAGGCACAGACACACAGACACGCACACTCACACGTGTTGTTACTCAGAACTCAGGGAGGAGTGTGAAAATGTTGTGTCTCTGCAGAATGCCATTTATTATCTCATAATCCCTCCAAAAATCTGTGCCTATAGGTTCAATGCTATGTTTTTGGTATGTATGAAAAATACGGGGGAAACGATTTTCTTAAAAAATGTTGATTTTGTTGTTTAGTTTTACCAAATGGACATATATGGTACTGTTTATGCACAAACATAAACAATTGTCATTTTCTATGTTCTGTTCTTTGCATTTTAAAATTTAGATTTTTGAAAGATATCTAGGTAATCGTGGAATGAGAAACGTCTACACACTCATCACAGTGAACACCAGGACAGTGACACATGTCCACACACTGATCACAATGAACACCAGGACAGTGAAACATGTCTGCCCACTTATCACAGTGAACTCCAGGACAGTGAAACATGACCACAAAGTTATCACAGTGAACACCCAGACAGTGATACATGTCTACACACTGATCACAATGAACACCAGAACAGTGATACATGTCCACACACTGATCATAGTGAACACCACGACACTTATACAGGTCTAAACTCTGATCACAGTGAACACCAGGACACTGAAACATGTCCACACACTGATCACAGTGAACACCACAACAGTGAAACATGTACACACACCAGGACAGTGATACATGTCTACACACAGATCATAGTGAATATCATGACAGTGATACATGTCTTTCCGTGCATTTTAATAGAGCAGAGGCATTGAATAACAAACATGTCTGCTTCTAAACTGGCCTTCTTCTTCTTTCTATCTGAATGTCTGCCTGCCTGTCTGTCTGATCCTGTCCTCCTGACCTTGGGGATGTGCTTGCTTGCGTGTGCATGTGTGGATGCATGCGTTTCAGGAACACAATGATGGGAGTTAACACAGGGATGAACCAAGCGCTCATCAGCAACAACCCCCTGGCTACCATTCAAGGTGTGTTAGAGGGAGACAGAGAGAATGTGCAGTGATTACTTAGACTTACCAGCAGAGGGTGCCAAAGAGAGAGAAACTGTAGGCAGAGGGCAAGAGGGATGAGAGAGAAATGCACAGCAGAGGGAGCCTTAAGGTCCAAGCTGGGGAAAAGCATCTCTGAATGTGCTTAATATATCTCTGAGTATAAGGCTGATGTTTTGGGGTATTTGCTGCTTGTTAAGCCACATTCCACTGCGCATATTCACGGTCATTTCCTCAGTTTGTGTGGATGTTTGTACTGTTGCCTGCTTGTGCATTCACATATCAGTCCTTGGCCAGTCTGGCTTCCCATCTCCTCTTCATCCTTCCTCTTCATCCGTCCCAGCAGGGCTGCCGGCTGCTGTGTACTAACCGTGACTCTTTATCCCCCTTCTCTCTTTCCGTTATGCTCTTCCACAGCTCTGGCAGTCAGTGGTGGCCAGCTGCCCATTTCCAGTCTTGAAGGGGGCAGTAAGGTGTTGCTGGGTGGAGCTGGGGGCACAGGTGGGGGCCTGCCATCCTCCCTCTTCCTGAACCACTCTGCCCTGCTGCCCATGGGGCCGGGCGCCGGCGTGGGATTGGTCAGCGCTGCTGTAGCCAAGGCGACAAAACACACATCGTTCCCCGCCGCCAGCAGCATGAGCCCCACCTCCTGCTCCCCCTCTTCCTGCTCAAGCTCTGCTTCTTCCTGCTCCTCCAGTGAGGTGGCACACAGCCCATCCGCTCTGGGAGGAGCCAAGACTGAGTGACGCAGCCCGTGGGCCAATCACAATGAAGGAGGAGAAGGAAGAGGAGGAAGTACAAAACCTCGCCTTTCAACCAAAGCTATCTTTCTCTCTCCCTCCATTTCTTGCTTTCACTCTCTCTCTCAGTCTTTCAAAGCCAAAAATACACAGAATGAAAGAGAGGAGAGAGAAGGAGAGAAAGAGGTGGAGGAGGAAAAGGGGAAAGGGGGAGATTTAAACCAAAAAATTATCTATCTAAGCAGATGGAGAGGAGGCATTGTGGGACTTTTTTGTCAACAAAGAATGAATACGCGCGTTGTCTCTACTCTGAAAAAAAATGAATGAAAAAACAGGGAGCGGACAAGAGGACGGAGACACGTGACGATTCTTGTGAACCAAAAATGACAAAAAACTTTACTGTGTGTTAGGATGGTGGCAAGAACAAAGAGGTGAGAGAAAGACTTTTACTGAAAAGATGCAGGGGAAAGAAGGAAAAGGATCTTAAACCAAAAAAAAATAAGAAGGAAGAAAGAACACACAATGACAAAAAATGACAACCATGCCAAAATCCCAAATACCAAAAACCGAAACCAAAAATACGGAGAGAAAAGCTTTACCCAAAGGACCTGTAAATACTGAACCGTCCAGGATCAGATCGCCGTGACACAGCACCACACAGCTACACTCATGCCTGAACAGCACGACAAAGTCATCCTTTTTATATTCCCTATGTTCCTCTGTTAATATATTTACATTTTTATTTTTTCATCTGTGTTGAGTATTTGATTTTTTATAAATGATTTATATGAATCTCAGTCACTGTTGCCATGCCTCTCTCTACCTACCTCTGCTTTCAGCTGAATGCCCCTGCTGCCTGTCACTGCTCATTAGTCCTTCATCACACTCTCGATTTTAAGTGTCCATAAGTAATTATAGGATCAATGGGTGTTTTTTTTTTCCTTTGCCAACTTCCTGTGCCAATTTATGCAACATTCACTGTTAAGGTTTTGTCTTCTGACCATTGTTGTCCTCCTTATCATCATCATCATCATCGTCGTCGTCGTCGTCATCTTCACTATCATCGGAAACATTTACCCTGAGAAAGCTGAGCAGAGACAGGGGGTGGCCCCTCCCCCGTGCACCTCACATGTACTGAGCCCTACATACATTTTTAATTTTACTGACGAGCAGAGAATTGCATGACTGCACACAGAAAAACGACAGAACCACCAGAAACAGGTTTGCCAAAGAATTCTCATTCAATAATAAATAAAAACCAAAGTCACGTGTACACATAAGCTAAGTGGAAGGCAATTCTCTCTGTGCCAAAAAAAGTAATATTACCTTGCTGTGGGGATATGACACATACACAGAGACGACCATGCTTTTTATTATCTAAATACAAACATACACCCACCCACCCCCAACCAAAAACACGTGAGGCTCATAAAGGTGCCATGCTGAGGTCCTATGGGGAGCCCCAGTCCCCATTAAGATGGGACCTGGTGTGTGGAGACGCATCTCTGTCCCTCTGTCTCTCCCAACACTTTCAGAGAATGGAGGGGATCACACACACGTTTCATCACTTCCATTCCACATCTGACAGCCTTGATGTTGTACACCAGTGTGGGTGAGAGCCACCAATGCCATGAGTTCCTTTTCTGTGCATCACATTCACGCCTCATTCATTTTCTTTGTCACATATGGATTCTCACTCTCTTGTTGGATACCAAAGCGTTTATTCTTAAACTTTACAGAGAAGAACTCAGCCATGACAAAAAAGAGGATGACAAAAAAAACAAAAAAAAAACCCGATCCTCCCCCTACTCTCCATCCCCTTTGCCCCTCTCTCTTGCCTATGAGGATTTTACTGAAAGGACAAAATAAGGGCCTGAGCCAGTGCGACGGAGACAGACAGGCAGGGATGACCAGCGGGATTCTCAGAGGGAGCCTGGAGCAGGCACTGCAAGCTTTTTTGAAGAGGAAACCAAAAATAACCAAACAAACCAACGACAGAAGCAAACCAAAAAGAAACCAAACCAAATAAGGATGGGGGGGCGAGGGGTACGAGGACGGACTATACCAGGGGCGGGGGGAGGCCAGGCGTGTCCATCTGTCTTGGACTGACTGAGTTTGTCTGCTCCAGACTGTGCTACACAGACAGACGGACGCCCAGACAGACAGGGCTCACACCCAGCCTCCCCCCCTCCCTCCCCCTCTCTGTCTTTCAGCCAGCTCAGTTTATCCATACTGTTCCTGGACGGAGAAATATCTAATGACCTCACTGAACTGAACTTATAAATATTTGTTTGTTTTTTTCCAGGTCTATCTGTCGAAGTTGTTTCACTTAATTTAATCTCAGTGCTTTGAGTTTTGGGATAACGTGCCACTTATTTTCAGATCTTTTCTTTCTTAGTCGTGCTAGAGATTTTTATCAGGTGGTTGGAAAAATACTGTGAAAATTTAGCTTCCAAAATTTTTATTAGATAAAAAAACCAAACAAAAAACTGTTGTGGGGAAAAAAGTCACACACACAAAAATACCAAAACTGACAAAAAAAAAACAAAAGCAGAGCTTTAACCGACTAATAAACCAAATAGCCAAAAAAGAATGCAGAAGGAGGCTTTACCCAAGCTGCCCCCCGCCCTCCGCCCGGCGGGGTGGGGTCCATCACCATGTCCAGGAGGTTCTAGGTGTCATGGGCTGTGCCTGTTTAGGAATGGAGGCAGATGGAACCTCGTCTTGTGGCACATCCCCATGATTACCACACGCTCCACGTAAACACCCTGGCCCCCCCTTCAGTATTAGGCGTTATAGTACCAAACAGCCACAACACGAAAGAAATGTAAGTATTTGATGAGTACACACAAACATTTGGGTGGGAAGGATGAGGAACATACAAGAAAGTTGACAGACAAAAAATGGGGGGTGGGGGGGGTGGGGTATGAACGATAAGAAAAACTCTCTACATTAAGTTTTAGACGGAATGTATCTGTTAGTGCTTCTATAGATTTTGTAGAAAAAGATCTATGTTCTACTGCTTACTTATTGCTAATGTAAAAAAAAACTTACAAAAAGACTTTGAGAAAAAGATCTTAAAAAAAAGTTGATGATAATGACTTGATTTTAGACCAAAAATTTCTAACTATCTCTCTTTGGATTTTTATTTTTAAAAGAATCGATTTGTTTCGGGAGAGGAATGGGGCGTTGGCTTGATTTGAAGTTATTGACTTTTTTTGAGATTGGTGTATTTATTTATTTATGTATTTATTTGTTTTAAACTCTGTAACAGTTAGGGATAGAGATCTGGTAGCAGGTTGGGTGGGGGGGTGAGATTGTGGCAAAAAAAAAACCAAACTAAAAGCTAACTCTGGGTAAAGTGGCCAGGTTTTCAAACCAAATCCCAAAAACGTTCTCGTACGGCACATTAGAGCCGTCAGTGCCATCCGCTGCGATGCAGGCTCTCTGGAAGACGCAGTGATCGTGCTGCCGGCCTCAGGCAGGGCATCGGGTGGGGCGGGGGTGCGGGAGGGCTGCTGCTGTCCCTCCTCACAGCCGGCTGAGGGTAAGAGCAGCATTGTGTTCTAGGGGGCTGTCTAATTAACAGGTGCTCTCTCTGGCTCTCCTGTGATGCCAGAGCATCCCCCAAAGAGTTTCAGTGGCCTTAGCACGGTGGTGGAGGGCTGGAGGGGGGCTTGCGGCTGCGGTATACAAAGGCCGCGATGCCAGTTGGGTGTAGTTCTTACCTCTTGCCTGCCCCCTGTAGGACTGGAGGACTAGAATGCTGGGAAAAAAATAACTTCTCTCCAAGATTTGTATCTGAAGCACTCTGATCCATCATCTCAGCCACTCAGCTGCATAACACTCTGCAGCTGCCCATCTTAGCTCTCGTCAGCTAATTGGATTTGTCTAGGGCGCTGGATCAATATCACCTTAACGGAGTCCGCAGTGGCTACTAGTGCTGTCCTGCTCATGGGATATTAAACATGGCCTTAACTTTGGAGAAAAACACAAAACCAAATGAGCCCTAGACCTGGTCTGCGGTCATCCCAGGACTGAAACCAGGCTGGGTTAAGGGCCAGCCTTCCAGTTCACTTCCTGTACAGTCAGGAGATGACAAAATGAACACAGGCAGTCAAGGAGGCCCGAATGTATCCAAACTGAAGCATTGTGTTCGGGGGTGGGGTTGGGTGCGGTACACCCCAAGGGTTAAAAGATTCAGCTACTATGGGGCAAATCAGATCCCTGAGGATAGAGCCTAGAGCCCGGGAAACGCATGACAGACACTAGAGGGCGCAAGATGGAGCCCCAGAGAGCAGATATTGCGTTGAGGAGCCACGCATATCGCTCTTGCTGCTGGCTGAAACACAATGCTGCCCTAACCCTCATCATTTCTTAAGGAATACACAAAAAGCTTTAAACAGCTATGAAACCAAAAAAAAGAATGACAAAAAATGATGGAATGGTTGGGGTGGGAATGCAGGGGGAGGGTGGGGCTTGATGTGGGTGGGAAGCGAGGGGGGGCTCAAACAGAGATTGGTGTGTTGGTCTGCATTGCAATGCTCTGTTGAAAAATGGCTAGATTCTGTCTCTATCAAGCTCAGCATTTATCCTTTATTTTTATCTGTTTTTTTTTCATCCAACGTTGGATGTAAAAGAGAGATAGTTCATCATATACCTCATATCCTTTGATGATAAACCAAATAGGCAAATGCTTTAAAAGAAGCGGGGATCACGTGAGTTTCAAGGGGGGGGGGGCTGGCTGGGGGCCAGGTGGCGGACTAGGAAATGAAAGGGGGCCAACGATGGGGCGCTAGGCCAATATCCATGCGGGGGGGGGGGGGGTGGTGCTAACAAAGCAATGACCTCAAAATACTCCCCAGTCCATCTGTAGTAAGAACCTGGCCCCTTGAGGTCTGGGGTCAGAAAAACCGGGAGTCAACATGGCCGCCTCATTGCAGAGTCCTTCGGTGTGACTCTTGACACATTCACTGAGGTCGGAGGCCAAAATGGCAGCCAGCGACCTCTCTCACATCGCCCGGAAGTGTTATGTTGGAACATGAATTTGACTCCACTGTGCCAAAAGAGTCCGCCACCCCCCTCACGCACGCCTTCAGGGTCTTTGGCCATGCGCCCCCTGCTCCTTGGCCCTCGCTCCGCGTTTGAGTTTTGAACACAGTCTGATCTGCAGCCGCCTGCCTCACTGAACTCTCCCTGCACTGTCACACACAGCCCAGCACGTTAGGAGCGCAGCCTTCCAGACACATTGCTGTTGCCTTGGGGGCATCCCGGCTCTTCCCTGGGGAGGGAGATTTGCTGTTAGGCGACGTGACCCAAAGCCCAGCTCCTAATGCTCTCTGGGCTTAAATGCTCAGTTCGAGATGCAGATTGGGGATTTATAGAACATACCATCAGTCAATCGGATTTTATGTACCATCAAGGTGCTGGAGGAGCGATGCAAGGAGGCGGGTGGTTGGAGGAGGACTGAGACTGTGATTGCTGGGTGTCACATAGAAAACCCACCCAACTCA